TTAAAATAAAATTAATTTGAACCGCATATAGCACCAGATAAAGATGAGATTCGATCAATCGTTTCAATTAAGTAGCTTTCCCGTGATCTCTCACACAGTCCACCGATCGAAATGTAAACATTTATAGTTACTTAGACTGATTTCTATGGCTTAACTATCAGTGGACGTGGATGACGTGTCGTTATATAACTTAACAATAGCCAATAAGTACTTGAACACTTGCGATCTGAAATAATATTGTATTACTGGTATCGTATGTGGTTGAAATTCAACCGACTTTCTTTTGTAGGTACATTAATTTGTGTATGCGCAATTCGTGGACTACCTTATTAGTCATATCGCAATTTGGACGTCACCGCTTACATTGAGATGTGAAAAAGTCTGTTCTATTCTTTGAAACGGAATACATTAGTGTTATAGTATGTGGATATAGCTATGACGGTAGTGTCAGACAGCATGAGCTCACAGTTCGTCCATTTAATAACTATACAAATTAACAAGTTCCAAGGGTTTCATTTTAGTACACATTACCTGTTTATTATTATTTTTTGTTTACCTCGTAGCCTCGATGGGCTATTCTGGTCTCTGCATGGCTGATTGGCGAGCTCACGAGACTCATTCTAAAACGACTTGCTCAAATAGCAGTGCTTTGCTGAATCTACTACCACGGGGTCGGAACCGCGACTCGTTGAGGAGATTCAAGGAAAAGCTCAGTGGGTTGTGTCTAAAGTTAACTGGCATGTTGAACGCAATCGCCTAAAAGCACCGAAAGTGGATCGCGAGAATCCGAAATGACACGTCTAGGGCGATTATTCGTGAATATTTTTAGTGTGCATCAATGGAAAACAGGCTTTGGAAAACTAATATAATTCTTCCTTTTTTACATTAAGAATTTTTACAAACGATCATCGGCCTAAGGATCCTTATAAATTCAGGGGTGAGAGTATTTTTTTCATAAATAAATACGAAGTCTGTAAATGTCAGTTTACATGATTTACCAATTCCTTAATTAGGCATTAGCCTTAAAAAAATTGTTTTTTTAATACAAATAATGTATTATTTTTCCCTTTAAAATCGTAAATTTTAATTTTATATGTTCACATGTATTTCCAGTACAGTAAGCCTTACATTCGATGAATAATGTTTAATCAGAAATGAAATTATTTTTTATACGCTTTCTCTTGTAGATAAACGATCGGCTTCTAAGCAATCATCATCCGTGTTATTAATATTGTTAAGGGCTATTAAACACGAGCTCTTGTGAATACCTTCCTAAAACTTTACAAGAACGATGAGCACTTTTAAAGACGGCAGGACTTTACAAATCCTTAGTTTAATACGACCTTGATCGGATATTTTAGAAATTGAAATGTCCACGTATCCACAGCTCACTCGAACAATGACGCAAAATCAGCCTTTATTTTAAAACCAAGGATCCCCGTGAATAAACCCTGAAATAGCACCAGTTTTTAGTGCGGGAACCGAGTCGACCGGACGGCATTAATGACTTAGCAATTTACTCCTTGAATCAAATACTACAGTACTGTGGTTATTTCAGTTTAAAGCGATTAAATCTATCAATGAATTTCCGGCAGCCGTCCGCTTGACACTTTTAATATCGCCAATCAACTTGCAGCCGTTTTGAATGAACAATGCGTGTTCGCTCGTAAATCGTTCTAAGTTTGCGCCAGCGTCAAGCAGTCAGCACATGAGTCTTGAGAAGTATAACCGATAGACGGCGACATGAAATAAAATCTTGGCTCACAATAACGGCTTTGTACCGTGCAACGACAGCAACTCGACACTTGTAATTTTAATGATTGACAAATCGATACCGGGCCTCTAGAAACAATGCAGAACAAACAGTATCCAGTACAAAAACGTTAAGTTTGTTTAAAACGGAATTCATTATTTGATATTTCAATTTATCGACTTAGAAAATAATGATGTAATAGACGCGAGCGTTTAACCCCACTTCGCCCCGATTGTAACTAAATATCCACCTTTCTCTTTTAAGATTCGGCACTCATTGCCTAAAGCAGTTAGGGGAACGGAAGCTTCGGATTATTTTTTTCGAGTATAAAAATAAAGATTATCTAATAATTTAACTTTGATTAATCTGAATATCTGTGAACTAATTGTATGTTACATTAACAGTGTACTTATAATGTAGTAATCTAGATTTTATATTTATTAACGTCCCAATTTTCATTTATTTTCAGGTATTTATTAATATTTTTACTTCTTCTATCTTGATGTATTTTTATTTCGTTTTCATTCTCAGCGGAATGGATGCTTCGATCTTCCTTCCTATTTCCAATCATTACACGACTTAGTGCCATATAGCGGATACGTACTAAAACCAATCCGTCATTCGTTAATGAAACGTACGATCTGAATTGAAAGGAATCGCTAACAGGAAAGGGGGCGCGATGATGAGGTGACGTACAAGCAAAATGTTTCGCCATATAACCCAGCCAGACTAAGACTCTAGATAGATAACCGACCTTGTATTTGCATGGGCAAATGATAGCTAGTGGAGGACAGAGATGGGGCAAGAATAGCTCATATGGCCAAGTCACAAACCCGTATCTCATTATTGATATCCGAACAGAACATTATCATCTAATATTCTCTGACCCCTTACAATAATAGGATTTTACCCTCAGCCGAAGTCAATTAATGATTAGCGTTTATATCAATATAACGATAGCCTATTTTCGTTCAATAACTGATATCACAAATCATTAAATTTAGCGATTTTACCCAGCGAAAGGCGCTATGATCGGTGCCACAGTTTCCAACTACAAGCTTGAACCATTTTTAATTGTCATTCCAATAACTTAAGCTGGCATTAGATACTTTTAGCTTTAAATGGGGTCAGACAGATATTATTTCTTTGAAATATCTGTAAAACGATAGAAATAGTACGCATGATTGTAATCTATACTAATATTATAAAGAGAAAAGATTTGTTTGCTTGTTTGTATTGAGCTCCGAAACTACTGAACCGATTTGAAAAATTCTTTCACTGTTTGGAAGCTACACTATTCCCGAGTGACATAGGCTATAATGTTTTTTGAAAAAAAATAGAGATCCTTACTAAAACTTCAATAATGTAATCCAAGGTGTAAAAAATTACCTAAAATATTCTTCACATCGCGTGCCCTGCGAAAACTATTGATAATAGAATAAAATAATGTACTACGACTTTGTAGAACACATTATTATTTACAAAAAGTGTCGCGACAGCATATATCTATAACTATTATAGTTACGCCGCAATAAGTGTTCTTTTATTTAAAAAATAAAACAACGTCAAATATCATTGAAATTTTTGTTGATCCGAGCGGAGCCGGAGCGGACTGCTAGTTAACAATAAACTACTATAAGTATTCTATTTTTTCTTGTAGTAAAACGCCACCACGATTCGCAATGACTATGGGCTACATGAATTTAATACACTCGTTAGATATAACGGTGTCGTACGCCATTATTGATTTTATAAATAATAAATAAATAAATATTTACTAACAATCACGCCACGTTAACTGGTCCCGTGCTAAGCTCGTAAAGAACTTGTGTTACAGTTACCAGATAACGGAAATAAATGTAAGATTTTTATTATACACATACATATTATATTTAATATACATCCATAACCCTGGAAAAGACATTTTTTTATATTTATTAAACAAACATCTTCCCTTGGCGGGATTCGAACCCGCGACCCCTTGTGTAGTGATCATGTCACTTACCACTACACCAGACGGCCAAACGGTAATTTTAAAGGTATTATGCTCACAATCTCCCCTAGAGTTCCAAAAGCAGCTGTAAAAAGATCGTATTCGAATAAACTAAAAACATTTATTTTTGTAAACAGATTTCTGACTTTTCAGAACGAACGAAATGAAACACGAAAACTAATGGCGCTTTTCCTCAATAATTTAAGATCCATTAATAAGCATTTTGCTTTGGACTTGAACATTTCTTTTACATAGTTAAGCCGATTTCCAGGCTTGTTTTTTTTTAAACATAAAAAATATATTTTCATACATTTTTTCTTCAAAAAAGAAGTGTTTTTTTTTCTATTGCATAGGTGAGTGAGTTGATCGCCGATCTGGTGTTAAGTGTTTATCGGAACTCATAGATCATAATACTAATGCCGATACAAGATCAAAGTCACAATGGTATATTTTAACGCCTGCCTTACAATTGAAATCACTGTTTCGCGACCGAAAAATTGACAGCATTGCGGGCTTTATGGCTTAGTTTAATGATGATATCTGCGTACTTGTATCTTATTATGGACATACCTATAGCTTTTTCTGATTCGTTGAAAAGTATTGATGAGTGGTCATATTTCAATAGCAATATTAAGATTTTTTTTGTTTTAATATGTACATATATATTTCATCTACCTGTACGTAATATGGTATATAGGGTGTTGTGTTATTATTTTGAACATTAAACGTCATAGAAATAAAATTATGATAATTTTAAACTTTGGTTCACAAATAAACATCTTGTTCACATGAAAAAATAAAACTGATATTTGTAGATTTTGTTGTTTTAAAGTTTTAATATTATCAAGACAAGTTTATATTTTTGTGAAACTTGGTCATTCATGAATTTTTGAATTAAAAGAAATCCATTAACTAGCTACAGAATTGAATATAATTTTGTCTTTATTTCCTTTAGAAATGATTTAACTTCGAGTACTGTGTGGTGTTAATTAAACAGCCATATTAACTGCATAAAATAATAAGATTTTCAAAATGAATAAATTTAATGAAAGTTTTGATTTTAAGGTTAAATGAATCAAATATATTTCGAAAGTAAGAGCTAAATATGATAGAGAGAAATAAGCTTATAATAAAAAGAAAGCTATAAGAATAAACTAAACAAATAATAAATAAAATAATAAAAGAAATAATAAAATACAGCTAAATAAGCTAGATAAATGAATTTAAAAACAAACTGTATTATTTAGTACTGACCTGTATGATGTAAGATGGAACAGTTGTTAGAAGAAGCAGCCAGGGAGTAGTTGGGCTCATCTTTGGGCTTCAGCAGTTCGTTTGCGGAGACAGCGTGGATCGACAGTTCCTGAATATGCATTTAGAAAAATTAATCTATATATATAAAAATGAATTGCTGTTCGTTAGTCTCGCTAAAACTCGAGAACGGCTGGACCGATTTGGCTAATTTTGGTCTTGAATTATTTGTGGAAGTCCAAAGAAGGTTTAAAAGGTAGATAAATATGAAAATGCTCGGAATTAAATAAAAATAACAATTTTGTTTTTCCTTTGATGTCTCCCCCGTCGGACGGATTCGTTTGTTTGTTTTAAGTTTATTGTATATAAAAGTTTAGGTCTTTTTTTATCGATTGAGGCACTACAAAGTCTGCCGGGTCAGCTAGTTGCAAATAAAAATGATATACGATTTTTGGACTTCAACTTTAACGAATACAAAATAGCTCCTAGCAATTAACATGTTTCTGTGAGTAATTCCGGAAACTTTTTCTTCTGATTTTAATCAGCAGACGGAACTGGAAAATTTTCCACCTGAGGTCTCTTTGTATTCTCTAAGTTGAAAATACACTACTATAAGCATGTGAAATAAGCAACGCTACGCTATATACGGAACACACAAGCGGGAATGGGACGCTCATAGAATTTTGAAATATTCTTCTAGGGTTTATAGGCCCTATAGATTCTATTTTCCCATTAAAGATCAAGCAACGGTTCGTCAGATTATGCGACAATGTCATGCTATCTATGGCTAAGGCGATGGTTGTACTTAACACCTATCTTATATCGTACATTGAAACTTCAACTAAGGCCTAAAAGTAAAACTGAATCTCAGTAAGCTTCAGCTTCATGGCCCGCACTAGGATCGACAGCGATATTTTTAAATTCCGGTTACACCAATTATATAAACGAATATTGTAGCTTTCAACACGTCTGTAAGTACTGGCTACGATTATTCATATGCCAGTGTTATTTAGTAAAATAGTGAAATTAACATTACTTATAACACTAGGAAGGAAATGTCGTTTATAAACAGAATTTGCAAAATATAAACAAATATGCAATACAATTTCATATTACTTCTATTTACAAAGTATTTATGTAGCATACCAAAAATATCTTTCATTTCTGAAATAATTAAAATACACGTGCCTGCACGCTTCCGTTAAGACAATGTAGCAGATTAAAGCAAATGAAAAAAACATAGGTCCAAAAAACGAAACTTATAAAAAAAGTACTTTATAAGATATAAGCTGACTGGAAATTCCGTAGCGCAGAACAGTAATCCGGCGAAGACGGTCGATTAAGTCGCAAAATTTACAAATCATTCGGAGCACGTGCGTATAACTTTTTTTTTCTGTAAATTAAATCGAATCCCGAAGACATGGCCAATAAATACTCGTACAATTTCTATTTTTAAATACGTAGCATGCTTTCTTCGATCTTGAATGAACGGCGGTCGACCCTCCTCGTAATGTCTCGTCGTTACAATGGCGGCGCGTGACAAACGCGAAAGCGATTGCAATCGGGAAAAAAATCTAAAATTTTCTAAATTTACACTTTATACTAAAGGAAATTATTATGTAACAAACATTAACCGCTTTTCGGCGTGCATAATTTCGTGATAAAATATCGAAGACATTTTCTTTGCGGAAACAGCTATAGATAAACTAGTTTGCTTAACAATTTTTTTTTATGATATACATAAAGTGTTACAATAAATAAATGAATGAGTAGGTAATGAAACGATGAGTTACTGTGTCGCTGGTCGCTTCCATCGCAAGACGTAGTGTTAGCTTTTTGACAGTGTCAGCTACACGGAGCTGATTTGTTCGCAACAGCTGCGTGTGCGCACCTATTAACCGCTGATACATGTTTGTCAGCCGGCTATTAGGGCGAAAGAGATGAAATTTCGAAATCGCCCATACGAGAGCGAGATCGGTTTATTTCTCCAATTCACGACCAATATTTATTTGCTGCATCGTGACATTCGAGAAAAATTCTTGTACCAAAAAATTAGAATCGAAAATAAATTCGTGATTTCTTCTGGCAGGCCATTTTTCTTGTTACTATATAAAGATATAATATTGGTCAAGGAATTTTCACTTTTGTTGCGATCCAATTTATAATTATGAAATAATAAGATCGTTGTAATGTATTATAAAGTCTTAATCCTTCCGAGAATGAATTAAGCAAAACGCGTTTCTTTTCATTTTTAATTGAATTTATAGACCAGCAATATCATATATTGCATGTTATTAGAGAGACGTTTATTACGCGTTCATGGTTTTGAGAAAAATATACTCTTGGCTGAATATCAACGGAAATGTTCCGACGGTTTCAATTTAAGATTAAGCTTTTCAATATGCAAAATGAAATTCAGATGTTTCGAGTGATCGGTGATGGTAAAAAAATATATCAGCTTTATTACAGATCGTGGGACCAATCAGTATGAGTATAGTGTATACAGTAATTGATCAACGATATAACTTTCTTTTGGTTAACATACACCATTACACAAAAAAAAATATTATTTCACCTTGTTATTAAACTGAAATAAATATCAAAACGTATCGACTAGAATTTTTAAACTGAATTATTACTTTAATAGCTTCGAATGATTACGACAATTAGTAACATCGAAATAAACAAAAATAAGAAAAAGAGCGAAATGGATTTCCACCATGGAGTTAATAATAGTAACTCCATGATTTCCACACAGTGACGAAGCGACACGACATTTCAGGGTGGGATTAAACTAAAATAGCTCAATAATTAATGGGCGTTCCCGAATCCACAATCTCAAAATTGGACTCATATTACATATAAAAGACTCGCTTTTTTTTAAGAATCATCGAAAATCATTCACTGAGTTCAATGCTGCCCGATGGCTATTCATAAATTTACGTGACAGAAAGAAAAAACCATGGCAAGTCGTCGGCCGAACAATGTGTACAATAATAATAATATTCCGTCGGACTAGAAACACTATTCCTGAGTGTTGATGAACGCCTCAAACTATTTAATTCGATAAGTAATGTTCTTACAGAAAAATGCAATAAAATAGTTAATCATTTAAATAGCATTCGCGACATCGCATTAAAAATCTTTTTGACAATTCGGTAGCCAACTGATAGTGTTTTTATTGAAACTAAAAGGTTTGCTTGCAATGCGAGCGATGTTTTTGAGTTGTATTAAAAACTTCTGCAAGTATTTGAGGTGAACGAGGTGTAATTTTCTGTGCTAGCCAACAACATGATTGTTTTTATGTTATTCGTTAACCCATAAGCACAGCCCACCGAGTTTCTCGCCGAATCTTTTCAGTGGGTCGCGTTCCCGATCCGGTGGTAAATTCTGCGAAGCACTGCTCTTGCTAGGGCCAGCGTTAGCAACGCTCCGGTTTGAGCCCCGTGAGCTCACCTACACATCAAGGAGAAGCTGAAATAGCCTCTCAAGGCTATAAGCATTAAAAAACAGGAATTTGTATCGCGCTTTTGAACGTTTACGTCACTATACAGTATGGTCGCTCTTGATCTAGTACAAATTTTGAATACAAATTCCCTAATATTTAAGTAGGAACGGAACGGAACGATATGGATGGATGACAGATATGGAGCATGACTGAGTGAGAGAGATAGGAGATGTCGTGTTAGGAAGTAAGAAAGACGGCGAATGAATGCGGAACACAGTTTTTTTTAAGTGAGACGAGGGTAGTTACCGGACGCGATCGCAGATAGACGCGGTGTAACTCTGAAGATGTAAGACGTTTATATTTTAGTTACATAGAATAAGAAAGACGTAATAAAAATCAAGTTTGTGTGAAGCCATCAACCATTTTTTATTTCACTGGCCCAACCTGAATAATAATAATAATAAAATTTTATTTCAGAATTAAATTCCATATGAAGTGTTAGTAATACGAAAAAAACACATTTTATTTATTTTACACTAACCATGGCTGGTCTTGAGCCAACATGGACTTCATTCCAGTGCCTCAGTATAGGGCAACAATAGCGACTCCCTATCGCGGCCAGGAGGCTGTTGAAACTCAATTAATTAATACTAAACCCCACACTTATTTTGGTTTTCATTGTTTGACTGTATAATTTATAAGACAGAAGAATGTCAATCAGTATACCGAGCTTTCGTAATTACTAAATTACTGTCGAGAACCCGTGCCTTCGTATGAATAATTATTGTATGTACAGCCACTACTACCTCCCCTATATTTCGATCGAAAGTAATCCCACCTTACAGTTCAAAGGATGTAAAGATAATGAAAGTTTATATGTAGCTGAACTTTTTTACCAACGCCAGTAGGTACTATAAACCATAATTAGTTTTCATCAAAAATTTACGTTGAAGTAGCGTTGGCATCATAAACAATCAGTTTTCTATCAAACATGAACTTTATTGATGAATAAAAATAAATATTTAAGAACATGGCTTAGCTTATTATTTCATAAACGTTATCTCTTTAGTTTAAATTGTACCTAAATGCACTGATGTATTTTCATAATATGTATTTTCGAAAAGCAAATAAGTAATACGTGACAAAGCTGTTGGCTCGAATAATGATTAGAACTAATTTATATTAGTCATCGGTGTCTGAACTACAGTATAAGGAAGTAATTAAATCAACAATTTCCCGGATCAGCGTATCAAGATCACTGCTGATAGTAAATGAAATGTGTCAACGACGAAACAATTAGATGAAATACAGCAAATATTACGGCAAACTAACAATTTGATAGTATTAAATAAGACTGAGTATTCTATTTCATACGTTCCGACTTAAGTTATAAGATAGGCCTTGTTACTAATCGATTAAGACTTAATCTCAATGTTAAGGATATTCAAAATTATTCTTAGCGTTAAGTTGCACGACATTTTAGAATGCAAACGTTGCGTCGTTTTCCTAATCTGGTAAAGAAATGCTAATGTAGTACCTAGCTATTACAGAAATAATTAGGCTCTTGAATTGCCAAAGATAATCGCATATATTTTTAAAGGAGGTTAAGCAACAAATACTTTTTTTGCACAACTAACATTTCATTTTACCCATCTTGAAACACA